GGCGGCGCCCGGCAACATGCAAATGAAGCCCGGGAAATTCAAATCCCAGGCTTCATTTGCAACTCCGGTTGCCTACATTAACCACCCTAGGTCGAACTAGGGTGGTAGTGTAGACATACCCATAGAGACTCACGCGCACGTGGAATCTCATGCATGCACACACTGGGGGCACACACAATCACACATGCACACCCAGACTCATGCACATGGAATTACTTGCACAACCACAGAATCACATGCACATGGAATCATGCACACACCTGCATGGAAAGGTACATGCATGAACCCACACACAGACTCTCACACACATGGATTCATGTACCGGGCTCGACAGTTACTGTAATCTACTCGCCCATGGCGAGGTCTGCGCATGCGCAGTGTGCCGAACCACGCGGCTGGCGAGCGGGGCTTACCGCCGCTTGGCGAGCCCTGCTCATGTACATACACACATAACAACAGAATCACATATCCGTGGAATCACGTACACAAACCTACATGGAAAGGTGCATACCCACAAACAGAATGTCACACATGGAGTCCCACGCACAAACATGGAATCTCACACACAAGTATGGAATCACACGCACGCTCACACATTCTCAGTCAGACTCTTCCTGCCTCACCTGCCCTGGCGTGTCCATCTCCCCTGACAGTTTCTACATCCGCCCTTTTGAGAAGCTCTTTGCTCAGACCATGGAGGAACCGGCCATGCCCTTCGCCTTCCCACTTGTCTGCAGCTACTTCGCCCACTGCACCCACCCCATGTGTCCAGAGGAGGTGTGTGCCACTGTGGCGGGGTGGGAGGGCAGGGTAACACGGGGGGGATGGGAACAGTCTGGTAACAGGTGTGGGGAACATGCATGATGCTGTGTAGATGGAGACCCTGCTGTGGGAAGGGGTGCAAGGGCACACCTGGTGAGGCATGGCCAAGGTGGAGGGACATCCATGGGGATTGGTAGGGGAACCAGGGGGACAGAGGAGTGATATAAAGGGGGAGAGCCGGGGGCATGCCTGGAGATGCATGTGGGGAGAACTCGGTGTGGAGGTGTGGGGAACATGCATGATGCTGTGTAGATGGAGACCCTGCTGTGGGAAGGGGTGCAAGGGCACACCTGGTGAGGCATGGCCAAGGTGGAGGGACATCCATGGGGATTGGTAGGGGAACCAGGGGGACAGAGGAGTGATATAAAGGGGGAGAGCCGGGGGCATGCCTGGAGATGCATGTGGGGAGAACTCGGTGTGGGGAGGAGTGGGCATGCATGGAGGTGTGGGGGGGAGGAGCAGGCAGGGGGGGGCAATTTGTCTCCCCGTGGGGTATGAAGCCGAGTGGGGCTGGCGTTCGGGATCCATGGCTGGAAGGTGCCAGGCCGAGCAGGGCAGGGAGCAGCCCCTGGACTCTCCCCAGTATCCCCACCTGAAGAGCCGCAGCCTGGGTATGTGCAACAGCTTCCTAGAGGAGATGGCCAAGCAGGCAGCCAGCTGCATCCTGGATGCGTGTGCCGAGCAGCGCAACCTCAGCGAGCAGGTGAGGGCCCCGGGGGAGCATCCAGCCTGCAGGCACCTCTGCAGCCAGGGCAGGGGCACAGCATGGTGCGGGGCGGAGGGTGCCCAGTGGACCTGCCAACCTAGGGGCACTGGAGCAGCTGCCAGGCTGGGGGCTCCTCACCATGCAAGGGAGGGAATATGGGGTGTGGCATGGCATGGGATGGGGCGCCAGGGAGTCAGTGACTGCAGCTTGCTGAGCCCTGCCGGCAATGGGGTGTGGGCATCAGCATGGCCAGCGGCTCCATGCTAGGAGAGCCCAATACCAGGCAGGCAGGCAGGCTTCGCCCTGAGGCCCAGCCATGCTGCCATTGTCGGGGGGAGGCCGGAC